TCTAAAGGATATCTCTTGGAACCTTATCGTAAGCTTTTTCTAAATCAATAAAAATCAAATGTAGATTCTCCTTATTATCTCTGAACTTTTGCATCAAACCTCTCAATAAATGTATATCTTTCATAGTAGACCTGCCCGACGTAAATCCAAATTGATTATGAGAAACTTTTGTGATGCGTCTTCACCTATGTTCAATTACCCTCTCCCATAATTTTAAAGTATGACACATCAACTTAATTCCTCTATAATTTGCACACTCTTGTGCATCCCCTTTATTCTTAAAAATGGGGATCAAAATACTCTTTCTCCACTCCTCAGACATCTTATTATTTTTTAAAATAATATTAAAGAGTTTAGTAAGCCAAGAAACTCCCAAATCTCCCAAATATTTCCACACTTCAATTGGGATATCATCAGGTCCTACAGACTTTCCACCCTTGGTTTTCTTTAAAGCCTCCTCAACTTCTTTTTTGCTAATGCGACGGTAAAAATGAAACGTTTTATTATTATTTACGATATTAAAATCACTAAGTTCGATCGTATTTTCAGAAACTTCATTAAAAAGTTTATCAAAGTAACTCACCCACCTATCTTGATGAGCGAGAGAAACGAAAAAGAAAAGGAGAGAAGGATTGGACAGTGCTATTGTATCAACAACAGTACCGTGGCACTGCTGCTATAGTGCCTCGACCCAGGGAAGTTCCCGCGTCAATCTACTAAGGTTGGGCGAGTTTCGACGAGGTTGAAGCTTTCGGGGCAGAAAAATTTTTTTGGTGGGGTGGCTTTGGTAGGGGTGGATGCTTAGGACCCTAGGGTGGGACTAGGATTAAACTAGCTCTGATACCAAATGATATCGGAGAAAGCGCAAACCGCAATAGGAATATAAATATTATTGTTGGAATGGAAATCGGTTACAACACTGGCTCCTAAAAGCCGGAAATAAGTGATAGTAAACATAAAAAGATACACTAGGGCGACGGCGAGGGGCTGAGCGGCAGCTGGACAAGAAGTAGGTGGCGGCCTGAGGCTAGTGGCAGCAACAGAGGGCTGGTGCGGGATGGTGGAAGTGGTGGAAATGCTGCGAGGGTAAGTATGGCAGCAGTTTAGGGTGTGGGAGACGACTGTGATAGCAACATGATAGGTTGGGAGGGATTGTGGCAGCAGCTGAAGGTGTTGGACAGCAACTCAATAGCGGCAGGGGAGGAATAGCATGAGCGGGTAACATAAACCTGTTGTTGGTTGAGGGAGCAAGTGACAGGAGGTGTAAAGGTTGGATGGGCAGTTGGCGGATGGGGCAGCAGGAGATGCAGACAAGGCAAGCTGCAACAGGGAAGAACAAGAAGGGTGCGATTGGTGGATAGCAGGCCGAAGGGAGGGTGTGGCTTGGAGATGGCCAAAAAGATAGTTGGCAGCCGCTGGAAGCGGAGTCGGAGGGGCTGAGCAAGGATAAATGTCTCGTCGGAGTCGAGCTATCGTCAAAGAATCACCTGGACCCATGGAGACGGTCACCACCTTGGACAAGTTATAGTCGGAGCACCTTCTTGTCGGCGGATACAGCTTCCAAAGGGGAAGAACGCTCAAAAGCAGCACTAAAAAATCTTCACTCATCCAAATTTGAATCCTAAAACACTCAACAACACAGGAAATTTGTAAATATATTACGTAATGCTTAGGAAAGGAAAGAAATAGAAAAAACAGATATAGAATAGGTAGGAAATAAAATAGGAGAACCATGGAAAAAGAAGGGAAGATGGAGGGAAACAAAAAAGAAAATAGGAAAAGGTACTGTAGCAGCTACAGTACCACGTCCGCGGCACTGTGGTTGCTATAGTGTCGAGACAAAATGAAGCTCCTGCGTCACCCAAAGTCTATAAAAGTGTCAAATTAGTTCACAGACTCTTTTAATTGAGTATAAAATAGTACTTCCCTAAAACTATTTCAGCCCATGTTTAAAAAATATGGGGACTAAACCGGCACTATTGGGACTAAAATAACTCTCTATAAAGAGTTAGGAGACTATTTCAATATTTTTTTTCTAACAAAATATGATACATAGACAC